GGGGGGTGTGGGGGGGGGCATGGAGATGCGGTGGATTGTGAATAAAATATATCACTGTCTAATTTAAGAAAATACACTTATGTCTCAATGAGAAGATGAAGGCCTAGTTTGACCAAGTAGGGTAGGCAGGATGAGAGGAAAGTAGTATGTATTTTAAATATGGTTACAAGAAGTTAAAACAAGTAACGCACCCTTCATTTTAATAATAGCCCTTGAAACCTAAGAAGCTTCTTTTTCTAAGGCTTTACCAAGGAAGGAAGACTTCAGTAACATGATCTATATTACCTTTCTGCTTCTGGGACGCTAATGAGTCCAATAGAACTATATAAAACCACAGAATAATCTCACATCGCATTGTTCTAAGAGGCGCCTGAGAATGGTCTGATTTGGAGATGGCTAAACATCTTTTGTAAGCTGATACACAGAAATGGTAATTCCAAGGCAAAGTTTCCTGAAAAGAACTAGTGAATTTAAAACAGAATAATAAAACCTTCCTGTAAAGTTTTCTTTTTGCTTTACACTTCAGAAACGTGAAGTTGGATCAGGCTATATTCCTTCTACACAGAGGTGGCAACAATGCTGAAAGCTTTGTGTCTGTTCTGCCATAACGTAAAGTGTTCCTTAGTGCTCTGCTAACAATCAGCCTGAAAGGATGAGATTCCAGTCAAATATCAGAATCTCTTAGATCCTTGCCACCACTTTTTCCCCATTCCACAAAAGAGATTTAAACATGTTTGCTTGGCAGCAAGCTGGGTTGAACAAAACTGCCAGTATAACAGCAGTGGCTTTACCTGGGACAGATCCACAGGCTTTGAAGATTTCTAGAAAATAATCAGGCTCCACAGCTTTTATAAAGAAGAGCGAAATACTTATCGGTCTCATTTTTTGCTAACATGGTTAAACTTTATGGCTTTTTCCCATTGAAACGAAATATTTGGAGCAAAAACTCAAGTTCTATTTTCAGTTTTGAAATTTGAATGCTGTTCAATTTTCTACTGAAACAGTAACTCTTCTTTTGAGTACTTGGAGTTTAGAAAAAGGACTGAAATAAGATTTAAAAAGAAAAAAAAAAAAAGTCTTTTGTGTGCAGCCCTAATCATATTATAGGCCTGAAAACAGGGATTTAAGAAAGAAGTTTTTCAGGCTTTTTTTCTCTTTGAGATTCCAATCAAATGCACAGTGCCTCTTTACAATATGAAGTATTTCAGAGGTTAAATTTCTCTTAATACAATGGTCGGGTTTTTTTTTTCCTCTGAAAAATCTAGATGCTGAAATAAAAGCAAATATGGTGGAAGCACCTAGATAGGATTGCTGGAAATGCAGGGAGGATTGAGCTCTGGAGGAGAGGGAACTAGGAATTAGGTTAATCTCCAACAGAAAGTATAGTCACGTTGTTTGAAGTACCAGCTACACACAACAGAAGCCTTCTACCTCTGTTGGAGCATTGTGATAGCTGGCCTAGGAAGCAGCCTAATTCTGAAACTTACTGAGCACTCACTATAACTTACTCTGATGGAAGAGATCCTGAACATGCTTAGATCTTGCCTCAAAATAGGATAAAAATAGTCTGAAAGGTGCTTTTATTTTTTTAACCACATGTAGGAGGAGAATGGGCACCAGTATCTGCAGACAGAACTAAAACAAATTAACCAAGTGGGGCCTAACTCTTCTGGTTTGTAGACAAAGTTTGGGAGATATTCTGACTGATAAAAGTGATGTAGAGGAAAGGCAAATTGGGCTTAGTGAGTACATATTGTTAGATTCTGTTATTCTGCTAAATATGTCAGGAAGATTATTGGTTGAGAATCAGAAACTTTAAAGCAAGTGGAACCAGGTGGATTCGCAAATGAGGTTTGTTTGACATTCTGTGTGCATCTTTGTCTGTATGTAACTTGAATGCTTACTGTGTGTTCTGATTGGTTTGGGGTTTTTTTGGTTGTTTCTTTTTTCTTAATAGATGCTGAAGGTGTAAATGGAAGAGAGGAATCTGTGAACCTTAACGATGCTGATGAAGGATTTTCATCAGGAGCTTCCCTCAGCAGCCAGCCAGTTGGGACCAAACCTCTATCATCTGTATCCCAGAAGGGCAGCTTAAGGAAAACAGCAAGTGGGCGTTCTGCTAAGGATAAAGAAACCTCTTCTGCAGCAAAATCCAATGAGAGCCCTCGAGATTCAGTAGCACGGAAGCAGTACATGCACCAATCCACTGACCTTGGTGCGGATATCATTGAGATGACACCTACTAAGAAACATCTCAGCCTGCCTGCTGGGCAGGTGGTGCCAAAAGCCAACAGTTTGAGCCTGATCAGGACCGCCAGTGCTTCCTCCAGTAAATCATTTGACTATGTGAATGGCAGTCAAGCAGGCTCCAGTGTTGGAGCTGGTACAGAGGGTGTTACCAATCTAGCAGCTGGCAACACCAATCGGTTTTCAACTATCAGCCTACAGGAGGACCGACTAGGCCAAGCTGGGGAAGGTAAAGATCTCCTTCCCCCAGGAGCTCCCCTAACCAAGCAGTCTCGATCTCCAAGTTTCAATATGCAGCTGATATCCCAGGTGTAACTTTGACTCCCTTCCCTAGGACTCCCTCTTTCCCATTAATCCCCAAGCAAGTTCATCCTTAGCAAAACGTGAACCATCATCCCGCAGTGTGAAAATACTGACTGTTGTGATCTTGTTTGATTTGGTTTAGCTATCATACTGTATTACTGAAACAGCAATAATTCTTCCCTCACTTTCATCCTCCCCACCCTCCCCCTTGTAAACATGGTTGTGAAGCAGTATATAATGTACTGTATGCCTTTTTCCATGCCTTCCTTTCTCCTTGGGTGATGTGCAATCCATCGTAGGCTGATCAGTCCCATTTCAACACTGTGAGACTGGAGACACCGGCGGAAATGGTGAATGTGATCCCTATGAGATGATGCTTTGGCTTTGTTAAGAAATAGAAACGGGTTTGTTTTCTCGGTCTACAGTACTGCAAAGACTACTGGATCATGACTTTTCTTTCTCAGAACCAGGAGTGCCTCAGAGATTCTAGTGTGACTTTGGACCTCTCTGAGTTTGTGCAATCAATTCTGGGGAGGGGGATTGTCATTGCTGCTCCTGGCTGCCTACAGCACTTTTTTCATTAAAATGAGGGTAGTTTTTTCTTGCCTGCCCCCAGTCTCTCATCCCAGAAGCTTTTGATGTTCAGCAACTGAGACATGCATATTAACAAGTTTTCCCTCAGAGAGAGGATTCTAAGTAGATAATGTAGGTTACAATGCACTTCTAATGGCGTTGTAGCCATATGTAATGTTACATGTCTTCCCCTCCAGGACACAGGGTCATTCTGCATATAGACTAAAATTTAGATAACACCATGCTGTTAAAGCAATTTGGTTTGTCAGTGGAAGGGAAGCGCTGCTTTCCCAGGAACTAATGGCTAGCTCTGCTCCATTTTTGTTGTTGCTGTTGTTCTTGTGAGGTGCTGATCACTGAATTGAAAGGTGTATTCGGGTAAAGAGTATTTCTCAGGCTGCTTTCTATGGTATCATGGCTGTTGGACACCCTCGCCCCTCTCAGCTGCTTTCTCAGTGTCCCTGAATTCAATCATGGAGCCATTTTGAGGAATCCTGCAGTGCAGACAGATCATACTCTTAAGGGGCTGTCTCAGGGATAGAGACAATAGTTTGCTAGAAATGCTGAAGCTTCAATGTGAAATGCTTTTCTAGAAACACCGTTGGCACAAAGGGGTACTGACAGTCCTTTTTTCCCAGAAGGATCACGCTTCATTGCCTTGGTATTTATAATCCGTTGAGGTTTTTTAGCTCTTGTTTTAGTGGATTGGCCCTACTCTAGGAAATTCAGAACTCATGCCATTGAGCCAAGCCTTGAATGTATATGACTGGTGTATGGGCACTGGCTGGTACTTATGCTAGAGAATACTGCTTAAAAGCACATTTCTGGTTACACATGAGAATGTTTGTCATTCTCTCTCTGTCTATCTTTTTTTGGATTGCTAGAGAGAAAAGGGGAAAGTTCATCCTCTATGCTTAATTCATGTATGATATCCTGGAAGTTTACAAATTGTAAACCCACAGGAAAGAGTTACGATCTTTATGTGGGCACTTTGGTTTCACTGTCACTGTGAAGGATAAACATAAGCAGTTATAAATAGCTGGCTATCTTTGAAGGATAGTCTTTAAGAAATTCAGGACAATAACATTGTGTTGCATTGCTGGTAGGTGGTTTTGGTATTGGTGGTTTTTTTGCTTTTGTATCTCTTTATTTCAAATAGAACTTTTTTTTCAAGTTTACATTAAAATACATTTAAATATTTGAAGTTTTTTTGTGGTTTGACGAGTAACTTTGGTAGTCTAGTCTTCATATCTTACATTCATAAAGTGAATTAAACAGCATCTGGACTGATGCAGAAATTCAGTTAAAGAGTAAATAGAATCATCAGAAATAAAGAAAACCTTACAGTTTCTAAATTGAAATCAATCTTTATGGAGCACTGGATGGAACTAAGGCAAAGTTGAGATTAAGCTATGAGGCATTTTTTGTAAAGATGTCAAAAGCTGTCTATGGTTAAACTCTTCCTTATTTTATAAAGTTTTGCTAGTGGAGACAATTGGTAAGTCGTGGCTAAAGGTACAAAGTTCATATTTTGTAGAGACCATCACAAAGGAAATTTTATTAAAGAACCATCACTGTAAATTGAAAAGGACAAAATAATTTGCTTAAATCTTCGGGAAAGAAAAGGTCAGGAGTGTCAGCTAATTTTTTAAGAATTACTTTATTTTTTTGTTTTAGTATTTTTTAAAAGTAGAGTTGTTTATTAGCAAGGTTCTCTACTTTTTACATTTACCATTATAAGCATTCCTCCAGAAGTTTTAGGACACTTAAATTGGCATCAGGTCAAATTTTAATTTTTTATTTTTTTTTTAAATATTCATATGTGTGGGGCCCCACGCTATTAAACAATTTCAGGAAAGTGAGACAGCTTAGTGACTTCAGATAGGGAAGTCAAGTGTACATGCATAAACTCGAATTGGTTAAAACTTTAGTCAAACTACCTTTTAAGATATTTTTACAGTTCTCATTTTGATGATGTGCCTTTTGTTATCGTTTCATCCACTGTATTTTGGTTTGTGCTTGTGTATATATACCTACCCCGTATAAGGCTTTTTGAAGAATTCAAATTTATCCCTGTAAAAAAAGAAATTTTTTTTTTTTTGCTATGTGCTAATGTGGTACATCTATAACGTCTCAAAATTACCCTTTTAGTGCAATGTTTCAGTTGTGGGATCTTGTTTTGTCATTTTTAAGACAAGTACTGTTCAACATCTATCTTATAAAATGAGTCATCACTAATATCTACAAACCAGCTGTAATAACAGGCTTTGCCAGTGCTGTGTATCCTGTTTATCATTAATGCTTCTAGATATGTCTTAAACTATGCCAAGGTGCGTTAAGATCATAGCGAAACTTTATACACTGAAGTTCAGTACACTTCAAAGTACTGTGGCAGAAATAAAATTAGAAGTGTCTGGGATATGGGTTGAGGGAATAATCTGCTGGCTTTCTGATTATATATGCTAAGTACTAAATACTTAAATTTTCTGATGCCTGTGACAAATCTTTAGACTTAAATCTCTTTATCCTGAATTCACGCTGCTGTGTCTTGTTTTAGAACATTTGGTACTTGACATGAGGCACTAGTATTTCAGTGCAACTGCAGCATTATAAAAGAAGGTCTAAAAGCAGAACACTATGATTTTTCCCTGTATATGTGCACATGCATGTGCATACATGTAATTCTTAGGTGAGGAAGTGTGGGTACTATATTTTGATGTATACATACATGTCAGTAGGGATAAATTAATTATTCCTTGATACAGTTTTTACCACATCACAATATGCTGCCATCTTGCAACTATTTTTTGTTGGGCTTTATGATTTTAAGAAAATATAAAATGTTGGGATTGCTAACTCCACCTTGATTATCCTTTTCAGGGGTTTATTGTGAGAGGCTTTTGGTTGAATGATGAGCCGTTTTTTCATACTGCAGGCAGCAAAGTGATGAAGTAAAAATACCTATTAAAATGAATGTTTTAAGATGACAGTTTAAATTGCTGTAATATCCTTTTAGTTTTTGTTTGGAGACTTTGTATGTCACTGTCCATTTTAAATGCAGATTTCTTTGAACATCCTTTCTGATGTGAATTTGGGAAAGTTTTTTGGCAGCATACTTCATTCTGTAATGCTGAACATCATGTTGCAGCCAGTAAGCGTTAGATCTAGTATTTGTAGTTTGCAAGTGTGTTGGTCTTAAATACAACATTTCCAACATAGTCCTGCTAGCTTTAACATAATGAAAATTACCTGTTTTAACATCAAAATAGCGAGGAAAAAAATTGTTTTCTGACAAAGTATTTATTTGCACTACTTATGAATACTGGAGTTTACTGGGACAGGGTTTTTTCTCACCATGTGAGGTTTACTTGTGTGTGGGTAGGTACATACATTTGTCACGTGTTGACAATCAATTGCCTCAACTGTGTGTATACTGTATGTAAATATGAACATATTTTTCAAGATTAAGGGGGAAACCTGCATCTAGTGGTGGTAAAGCTACTCCGTAGTAAGGTGACCCCCACTCTAACCCCTTTTTGTCTCCAGATACTATGTGGTTTGTTTTACTTCTTTAATGAAGATTATTAGTGTTCTTGGAAAATTTTAGGTCCAGGGAAATTTTCCTCAATATTTAATGTATAACATGTTCAGAGAATTATATTTTGAAAAATTAATTTTGGAATAGATATGCTATGGCTGTATTTTAACCTAAGAGTTTAAACGTGTCCTATTTTATCATGAACCAATGGCTATCTCTTTTTAAGTGTTCAGCATTTTAACTTCGGTCACAAACCAGAATTTTTTGTTTATCTTGGCTTACAAATTTAATTTGAAGACTAAGTGAGAACCGAGAATAACTTTTTGAGTAAAATAATAAAAATCAAGCAGTACAGACTAGGTAGTGTACTCATAATCCTGGAGGAGGTGTGGAAACTATAGTGGAACATGTTTGAATGACATGTATGTACTGCACACAAAACAAAAAGATGTTTGTGCTGTTAGTAAATCTAATAATCTCATCCTTAAATTCTGCAGTTCTTTCATTGCCAAAGATATTGCTACCTTGGCATGTTTAATATAGCATTAAAGCCATTAGCTAGGTCTCATTTGTAACAACCGTCTACATCATAGGCATAGTTTCCATCAGAAGAGTAAACATGCCCATTTTTTTATTTATTTAAATTTCTTGTTTAGGATAATTGCAGGAATACAGTTGCAAAATATCATTCCTTTCCAAGCATGGTAAGCGAAGAAGCCAGATCCTTTGTACTTGCATTGCATTTGTGGTTTATATCAAATCATTCAATCTCTTATATTTTCTTCAGTATTTTAAATGCTGTTTATTTCTAGCATATGGGCCTTAATCTCTCTTGATTATTTTTTTAGTTTGTTTTCCCACTGGCACTCAGATAAACTTTGCTGTGGAAAGCTTTTCTGTAGGTGTTCAGGGTAACAGATCATGACATGGATGTTGTGTTAGTGAATACATGTATCAGTCTGTCAAAATTTACATTTTCAAAACCGTCTGAAGAGCCAAAATACTCACCTGCCTCTTACACAGTGGTGGAAGACAATGGAGAGCTGTGAGCAACTTGGTTTGTCAGTAGTTCCTCAAAATAAGCAGTAAGTGGATTTTGCAAGACTGATATGCATGAGGATTTCCATGTAGTTTTTAGGAAATTTTATTTAAAATAAAACAAATCTTGGATCAAGTTTTCAAAACATAACAGCTAACCATTTTAGATAAACTTGCCTAGTAAGTTTGGCAAGTGTCAAGGCCTGTGACATTAAAAGTTCAGAAGCAAGCTGTAGAAGTCTAAGGGTACCTTACAGCTTCCAGAAATGGATTTAGTAAAAATCTGTCCCATGATATTTGTCTGTATTTGAGATTTAATGAAAAAATTTCAGTGTTTGCTTCCATTCTTCTATTTATTTTTCTCTAGGCTACCTCCCCCTGCCCCAATTTTTATTTTTACTGTGTTCACCAGATCTTACCAAAGGTAGTATCTGAGGGACCAAATGAAGTTCAAATGGGTCCATAAATTATCCCTCCTACCATAAAGGATTACTAAGCTATTCCTGTGAGGAGCTGTTGATGGGAACAGATGTATAGTAAAACTTTGTGTCTGTACAGTAAAACCTTGCCCTACATTTTAGCTTGTGCATGATGAGCAAAGTGATGAGATCAAGTTTTATTAACCAATTACTTGGTTGTGAGCTCCCAGTGTTTTACAGTGAGATGTAAGCAATTTAGAGTGGAGTATCTTTGCAGTCTGCTAGAACTCTTTAAAGTGATTTAAATTTTGACTCTTGAAAAGATGATTAATCACTCATTAAAATGTGGTATGGAATTCACACAGGTTTTTGGGTTTAGAGGGTAAAATGGTCAGGGGAGATTTCTATTTAGGAGTATCTCCTAGTGAAGTGACTCTATGGTGCTTTGTCATGGACACTTCCTTACAAATCGGTAGTGGATCCTGTGTGTTTGAGTCCTCATCCTCCCCAGAACTGATCATAATAAAGAAAAAAGAAGTAAAATAAGGAGGACTTGGGAGTGACAGAAATACTGGCTATTGACACTGTTCTTTCTGTCCAGGCAGTTGTTGTTGTTGTGCTAGACTTTCATGTTATTAGTTTATGAAAAATGCAAGTAGTAATAATTTTGTGGCTTCAAGTATACAGTAGATGTGAGTTAACAATGACTCAGGATAAACCAACTTGTCAAAGTATTAATAGATTCCTAGTACTAGGGTGTGTCTGTGTGGTTTTGTGTGCCAGTGTTCAATGATTACTTTGAAACAAGACTTCTTACTGTTTTCTTGCAGAGAGTGAGTACTTTTGGGATGGATATTACTCGCTGGTTATTTATGGAGAAATACCATGAGATTAAATAAAACTGAGTCATTTTAACATTTTTTTCCATATCGAAGATTCCAGGAAAAAGCTAATAAAGATTTTTAATAGTTAAATCAGATACTCTTAATACATTTTAGACTTACTATGGTAGCTTTTATTTGCTATTAAAAAACCCAACAACTAAATTGAGGTACCCCATGCTGCATTTTTTAAATTTGTAATTCCTGTACTTTACAATGAATCTTCTGATCTGTTTTTGTCCTTCTAAGAATGCAGGATATGCTGTCAATTTTACTAGCAAAAAGAAACATTCTGCAAGGGTTAAAAGATTATTTTCTTACTTTTTTCTGTCATACCAGGTTTGTTTCTCTGAACTAAGGTTTCTGAGGATTTTTACTACTTTAGCATTATGTAATCTTATCTCTGTCATGGAAGGAGCATAAGCAGCAAGTAGCCCACTTCTTGTGGACGAACAGCTTAGGCAAAAGGATGCAGATTGGTGGTGCGAGCCCTCTGCTCTTCACCAGGACAGCCCTGTGTGCTGGTGTGAACCCCAGACGTTCAAGATTCGGTACTGGTGAAGGACTAAACCGAACGGGTTTTTAATAACTGCGACCTCTGCTGTACGATGTCCTTTTAACCTGGGACCAGGGAAAATCTTCGTTCTTAGACCTGAAGATGGCACGTATTGAAGATCATGTTATTGGTGCATGTAAGCCATTATCTTAACTGTCTTACTGAGCTGGTTAATGCTGTTGACTGTTGTTGAAATGTGAAATGTAGTTACTATTGACTTTGTAAATACCTGCCAGAGATGAAATATAATTATTTTAAATCATTGTAAATAGAGATGTATAAAACTCGACACAATCTGCAATGCAGAAAAAAATTATATATATATAAATATATAAAGATGTTAAATAAATATTGTGCTGTTTCTGAACAGAAATGTATACTTTGTGAATTGCTTTTTTTAAAAAAAATTTTTTAACTTTGATTTACGTTGATGGGGATGTTGTAATGCAGGGTACATCTGCAAGGCTTCGTAGCTCAGACACCCACAAACACGCCAGTGCGTGGAGTGGGAGGCGGGAAGGAGCCACCGGGGGGCTGCGTGTGGGTTAACTTTGCCCCGGAGCCTTCATGGTAGTTGCTGTCGTCTGAGTGTTTCTCTGAAGAACCGGGGCAGGGGCAGGGGCCGGGGCCGGCGCTCAC